AAATTTTGAAATTAATTAAATTAAATTAACTTCCAATTTAAAGTACACTCGTTTGTGTGTACAATATTAAAGATAAATTTTATTTAACAGGAGCTTGTGCACATGGACGTAGTTATGAATATTACAGCGAATCTATTACGAATCCAACAGGTTTTCCTGGTACAACTAAATCATTTTTAAATCTGAAAGCAACGGTATATATGGGTGGCAGTGTTCTCGATCAGAAGTAAGTTTTATTTTATATTACTGTGATTAAATATATATTTGTTTTATTTTTTTTTTATTTTAATTTAACTATCTATAACTAATATATATTATTAATTTCATTTATAGCGCCAGAGGATCCTATAACTTCAAAACTGGAAGTAAACCTCCTTATGCGCTAGTATAATAAAATAATCCTTTATTTATTTATATATTTTATATGTATGTTAAAATTTTTTTGCTTAATTCAATAAAAATTTTTACAAAAAACTATTATTATCGTATTATTTCGACTTACCGCAACCATATCCTCGATTGCTTGGGTTGATTTCGATCCTAGCATGACCATACCCATAGCAATACCTGCTGCTTCGCCAGTGACAGCATCATCTTGATAAAGGTTGAATTTTAATTGTTCATACACGTCTTGTCTATGAGAACCCATAGCAGCCAGACCCAACCCTAGACAACCTCCATGACGAACCATCTGTGAACAAAAAACCACGATAAATTGTAGTATATGTAATATTATTATATGATTTCAAACTCTACTTTATTGCTCGAATGATTTTATAACTGTATGTTTTTATGAATTATAAATACATACCTCATTCTGCGCATCCTTCAACTGACCAAGTAAGTAATCCGTAATTGCTGCACCGTGATTTGCATGAATAAGTCCTAATGCATACAAACCACCTCCTTCGGAATAACCAGCTCCCGCTCCTGAATCACGCGGAAGATAAGATTGCATTAAAGCTAAAGCTTCTTGTTCGTGACCTCTATGAATAACTCCTAAGGATGCTGTCGCTGTTAATTTCGCCCAATTCGTGGCTCTGGCTAACCATTCTAAGTTATCTCTGAAATACGAATAAGAAAATAAAGTAAAAAAATAAATTCTCAAAAATAACAAATAAAACAAATATAATTACCTTAAAAATTGATCACTTGTAGTTCCAGAATGCATGTATGCATTCGCGATTACAGTGGCAGTATGACAAATAGACACGCGTATAGTATCTTTAGTGTTTTTCAATATCAGCATATCCGTATGATTACTACGAATTAAGAATTGGAGATGCAAATCGATCGAAATTTCACCACCTAATATGCTTGATAAAGCATCTACACGTTCTTGTTGCTCACGTTCTTCGGCGTTCTAAATAAATGATACGATTAGATTAATAAACTATTAATATATATAGTATAATATTATTTTTTTTATTTATAAAACTTACCAAACTTTCAACACTACGTTGGGATTTCTCCTCAGAAACTGGTGTAGTACTTTCAGTTTCCATTACAGGTGTAGATTCAGAACTAACAGTAGCTTCAGTAGATACTTTTGCAACTGGTTTTACAATTGGTTTAACCATAAGAGCTCCTGGAATGGGGGCTGTTGCCCTCAAAGCTTGTAAAACACGTCCAAGGAATTGTTGAGTTGCCGATTCGTATAAATCAAATGCAATTTGATAAGCCATAAGAACGCAATCTTGAGAACCTTTGCTCAATCTATCTAATAATTCGGCAACAGCTAATGGATCATCAAGGAATATCAAGCACTGGCACATATTGACATAATCTGGTGTTCCCAAGTTACGATAAAGGCTCACTAGACAACGAAGAACAGTATTACGAAAACCACGATTCTGAATAAGGCTCATAACAACTTGGAAGGCATAAGATAACATGCCACTAACATCATCCTATAAAAAAAATATTTATAAACTTAAATATAAATTAGTATTTTATTTTTTAATATTTTTTAAATTATTAAAATTAAATTAAATATTTAAATTAAAATATTAAAAATTTACTGATTGCATAATTGCAGCTTCAAAGATATCCATTCGTCTTGTTTCAAGAGCAAGACCCAAAGCTTGACGATATTGATTATCATCTAAACATCTCTGAAACATTCTGTTTACAATTCCTTCTAATCTTGGATCAATTCCTTTACTAGTTGGTGGCAATTTTCCTTCAGCTTCCAATACACGTTGTTGAGTATAATAATCAATACATTTAGCTGAAATAAAAACAAAATAAATAAAATAAATTGTCTAATAAAATTTAATTACTAAAATTACTAATAAAAAATTGCTAATACCTATGGTAGTATCAACATATTCATTGCGGGCATTAACATCAAAGAGTTCCCCAGCTCCCAAAGCATAAGTTAAAGAGTCTTCAAAACTTCCTAAATGATAGTATACTTTACTAGCAACTAATGCAGCTAAGTCATGTTGAGGAAATGATTTATCTTCATGAAGAATTTCACTGAAATATATAAAAAACTTTTGTCAAATCTTATTATCTCATTAAAACTATATAAAAAATTAAATAATGATATATAAATTACATACATCTTTTCTATGGCCTCAGAAATTTCAGGCCAAAATTCATCTACTATCATATCCAACTTTTTTAAAGCAAACACCTTTAATTCTGGCATTGGTTCCTCAAGAAGAGAAATGATACCAGCTGAAAATAAAATAATAAAAATTAAAACCAATCAATTAATTAAGTTAAAAAATATAAAAGTTATAAAATAATTTAACACATATTTTTTTATCGACTGTATTTAATATTTCGAATACAAAATTAGAGGTTATGGTCCATGAGTTTTGCAAATCATTGCATGTATACTAATATAATATAAAAATTTAATAACAAAATTACAAATAAAAAAATTAAGTATACGTTATAATAATATATTTAAAATAAATAATTTACCTGCTGATGTAATATTCATGTTGATTTTCATACAATATATATTCCTTCGGCAAAAATTCCAAAAGACAGTTTTGATTGTAAGCCACAAGCCACGGACTCGTCAACTAAATTCAATTGAAATATACTACATGCCGTTCTAGATGTAGCCACCTTAATGACGAAAGAACTATAAATCACGTAACAAAATTTTCAGATTTTCTTCAATTTTTTTTAATATAGTTATTTTTTAATAAAAAGAAAGAAAATTTTTAAAAAAATTATAAAAATATTGTTAATAATTAAAAAAAATCTAAATCTAAATGATAAAATTTTAATCTTGCAAATTCGGACTTTAGTGTGGTAGCACTGCTTTCAATGGCGTATACTTCATAATTTTCTGTAAGATTTTGATTGATAAAACTAATCAAAATCTGAAATACATGTAAGTTAAAATTAGTATATAAAGTATAAGAATATTTATAAGAATATTACATTTCTTAAAATGACGGAGAAAGCAAAAACTATGAGTCATGTAAAACATATTCCAAAAGATGCCCAAGTTATAATGTCAATTATGAAAGATATGGGTATTACAGATTATGAGCCAAAGGTTATAAATCAATTACTGGAATTCACATACCGTAAGTATTTGCAATTTATTTAATGTATAAAATAAGATATATGATTATGATATGTATATTTATTCTTTTTTATTTTATTTTAAAATATAAATTATAAAATAATCATTATTTTAGGTTATGTTACTTGTATATTGGATGACAGTAGAATATATGCAAATCATGCTAAAAAGAAATTTATTGATTTGGATGATGTTAGATTAGCAGTTAAAATGCAATTAGAGCGTACTTTTACAAATCCACCACCTAGAGATGTATTATTAGATGTTGCTAGGGCCAAAAATAATATACCTCTTCCATTTGTTAAACCAAGCAATGGTCTGAGATTACCACCTGACAGATATTGTCTAAATGCCACAAATTATAGACTTAAAAATGCAACAAAAAAAGTAGTTGGGAAACAATTACATTCTTTAGTTGGAAATAATATTCAAGGTGGTCAATCTAAAATCAAAGTAGAAAGTAATAAATCTGGTCTTTCTATTGTCAAAAGACCAGGAACACTTGCAACTGTTGCTAGAACTCAAACTATTTCTATGCCAAAGCCTGTTTTAAAATTTTCAGCGGGTAAATATATAAAATTTTATAAATACATTAAATATTGATTTCTTAATTATATTTTATTCTATAGATCCCTTCCGAGCTCTGCATTCCCAAACATCTATTCCTTCTATCCATATTTCATTAAGAACCCAAATACGTAAGATATAAAATAATTTGATTAATAATAATAAAATGTTATATCCTACTGTTCTTAATATAATTTGCATTATTAATTTATATTAATTATTTAACGTTGTAGCAGGAGGAGGTACTACTGTAAAAGCACAAGTATCTAAACCAAAAATTCAAATTTCCTCAGGACAAACAATGCCCCCTGTAAAAATGGAAGTTGAAGAACCTATGAAAAGAAAGAGAGAAGATGATGATTATGATGTACCATAATGTATATATAAAATATTAAATATTAAATATTTATGTTTTATTACATAAAACAATATACAATGTCAAAATAATTTTATTTCTTTATGCAATGTAATAATTTTTATAATTTTACCTTTCTGTAATTAAAATTAAATTTAAAATAAAATTATATATTTTTATTAAGAGGATATCATAAAAATATATGATTGTAATAATGAAATTTATGAATTTTATTACCCATATCAATATAATTATATATTAATAAATATTTATTATATATCACAATTTTTTGCATTTATTTTTCTCCTAAACAAAGAAAATAAATATTAATTTTTATTCATTATAAAATACTTTTATTAAATAATATAAAATATATTTAAAAAAATAAGATAAATATTTTAAATAAATTAATAGAATCTATTCAATTTCAACTTATTTACAATCAATTTTATTCAGACTATTTTAAATCACACGAAAATAGACGTTTTATTCATTATATTTACATAAAATCAAAATTATTCATTATGGAACTGCATATTCTTCTTCATCGCCTGGCTCTTCTGCTTCAGTTTCTTCTTCAGTAACATATGCAGTAGGACCTATTTCAGCTTCGATTTCCTCTTCAACTTCTTCTTCGGCTTCAAATTCAGGTTCTATAGCTTCCTCCTCTTCTTCATCCACCTCTCTTATTTCTCTTCGTTCTATCTCTGGGGGTATCTCTTCTACTAATTCTTCTGGTAATTCTTCAGGCTCCTCTTCCTCTTCTCGTTCCTCTTCTGGTACGCCTTCGAAAGGTGGTGGCTCTTCAATTTCGATTTCTTCCGGTGGTTCTTTCTTTTCTATTTCTTTCACATCTCTTTCTCGAATGCATTTCTTTCGGTGAATTGGCAGGAAGAGTTTAAAGTCTTCTGGCAATTCATCTTCGGAATATAATCTATTCGAGAAATATTAAATAATAAAAAATAATAAATATTTTTTCAATACTGGACAAATTGTGTCATAGTGATGCTAAAAAATTTACATATTCTCACGCTTGGATTTCATAAAATGAAAAAATTATTAAAAATATATCATTAAGAAATATAATTAAAATTATTTATTTATCAACCTAGAAGAAACCACCTAAAATTAAATGAAAAAAAAACTGAAAATCTTCTTAAAAATATTTATAAGTAATTATTACGATAATATACATACATATTATGTATAATTATTTTTATCATCAGATTTTAATTTCGATTAACTCAATATTAAAAGAAGAAAGTTAATTTCCTACCTGTCCGCAAAATAGATACGTCGAATCCTACAGTTTGCATGGATCTGTACTCGCGTAGTTTCCATATAATTTGTGCCATACGCTCTTCGCGTGAAATCTGACAGATTAAATTGAATTTGATTCCAACCGCCAGATAAACCGATCGGCATCGACGTGCAAAATGGTCGAACCCGAGTGGTGCTTTGAAAATTGCTCATTCGAAATCTTCTATGCATATCTTTATCATCGAGTATCTGTCGAATCGAAAACAATAATGCAAATTTTCCTTCCTTTTTTCTTTTTCTTTTTTTTCTTTTCTCTAATTCGAAGCAATTTTAATTTTACCAAATATATTGAAATCATTTTTTCAAAAAAGAAATATAATAAAAAATCTATACGAAATTTTTTTCATGAAAAATTTACTGTTATTTCGAACGTGAAGTACTTCTTCATATTCTTGATAATCATGATTAAAAACGGAAGTTTAATGCCGAGGGAAGCTTTCCTGTTGCCACGAGGACAGTAAATGTAAGTTGTTGTAACATTGGTTCCGGCTAATTCCAAAGCTAAAGATTTCACCTCATCGTCCGTTACTCTTCGAATATAACCATTCTTCACCTATTCGTAATGATTTCATTTTTTAGTTCAATTTTAATAATAAATAAAATAGAATATATTTTTTCACATAATTTTTTTGTACAATAAGAAATTCTTTTCATGGAGATCAAACTTTAATAACATAAGCAAAATTAAATATTTTCTTTATCCAGTAGTAAAAAATAAGATAGAAAGAAATTAATTTTATTATTTTAACACAATAGAAAACATCTTCGATTATTATCAATAAAAAAAAAATTAATCCAACGTAATAGAATATTTTTTCTCCTACACTTTCCATCACTCATTAAAAACTTACATGCATATCCCATAATTCGAGCGGTGACGATCCACAGCTGTACAAAATGGACATAAGTCCGTGTTGATACTTGTTACGAAACATAATGCTCCTCCTCTCATCGAATGAATAAAAAAAAAATAATCGAAAATAACTCTTACATTTCCATCGTATCCTTATCTCGAGAAAACGTCACGTTTAATCGTTTTAATATAACGCGAGAATGTATTTCTTTGTTTCGTTCGTCGGATCGAATTTGTTTTCACTTCTAATTTCGCTCCACACGCCCTGTGTCTTTCAAACTCACGAATGAAGGAAGAAAATAGACTCGCCCACACTTTGTTCAATGTAGAAATTCTAGGTTTATTCGATTGCACGTGTCGTTACATATCAAGCACAATGAACGTTGGAAGGACAATATAACGAGGTGTTGTTTCGTTATTTGACACGGAGAAGTTCGTTGATGTGACGTCTCTCGTTCTTGCTTAGCAAATCGGGGACAATCAATGTCTCCTGTGGTATCCCAAAACTGAATACCCGGTCGATCCTGACGCTATCGATGGCGAACATCTGCATCATCGCGAAATGCATGATGTTGCGGTTCATTTGACGTCTGATCTGCTTCCTGGTCTTCTGTACACGGTGCCGGCAGACCACGTAACTTTTAACAGATTAAACGTTTTATAAATACTGACAATGGAATAATCGAAATTTTTTTAGAGAAATTTAACATTCGAAATAAATTTCTGAGTTGTTGAACAATAAAATGAAAAATTTGAAAAATTTCAAATTTATTTCGAGAATTAAATTCTTTTTTAACATCTTTTTGATAAAGTTTTTGAAACTTTTTACAAATCATTAATTCATTAATTATATATATGTAATTCTATTATATTTTTTTTAATATTATAAAAAATTATAAAGAAAAATTGAAGAATTTATCTTTTATATTTCTTTTATTATTGTACATTTACTTACTTCTTAAAATATTTTAAAAAATTCTACTATTCAAAATTGAAAGAGAAAAAATTTTTACTTAATTAATATTTTTTTCATAGAAAAGTAGAAAAATCAAAGCTATAAAAAAGCTTAAAATTCGTCTTAGTAATGAAATACAGAAATTAAAAAAAGTATATTACATTTTATTTATTTTTATGAATGAAATTATTCTTACTAAGGAAATTTTTTAAGAGTGGTGTAACTTGGATGTATGGAAACATCGCTTCTGTATAATTCCGGATACAATTTCATGTGTTTCGTTAAATATCTCTTAACACGTGGTTTCGTTTCATTTTCCTTTTTGTGAATGTCATTCGATTTCTTTTCGTTATTATTTTCGGTAATCTTCTTCTGGTTAATCATTTTGTCCTATAAACTACAAAATATACACAAAAATATCGATCCTTTATTATAACCGATTTATCCATCAACGAGGCCCAATATTCTCATTTATTAATATTAATTTACAATCCAATAAAAGTGAAAAAAAGAAAAAAAAAATATTCTTCAACAATTTTCCAAAATATTGTTTAAATATTTTTTCATTATTCCTCGATTTGATCGAAATTAATCACGATTTTAATATTACTCACGTACGAAAGAAACTAAAATTTTGGAATAAAAAAGTGTCGAATGAACGAAACGTGATGATCGCGATAAACGCGAAACTTGGACTGGAGAATTTTTCGATTCGGCGAGTCTGGCTCGTCTCTCTGTTGGATCCGACGAAAGTTGGCCGATCTGTAACGAAGTGAGCCCCTGTGCCTCGTACGGATATCGATTTGGTTTCCAGGTGAATCAATAGAGAGATTCGGTTCATTCTTATTGCGATAGGTTTGTCTGTAGATGTCGGACCACACAGATCCATTAATCCATGCTAATTAGCCGCGAGAAGATTATGCGGTAACCTTAGGAATTTCCGTGGGGGGATAAAGTTGTTCTCAACTCATCGAACGATGTACGATGATTTGAATTATATTTATAAGATGGACGATCGTTCGTTAAAATATTTGTTTGAGTAAATAATAATAAGTAAATTCGATTACTTTGCAAAGGATTAAATGGAATAATTAAATACGTGAAATTTTTATCATATGTGAAATCATATATATTAATTTTGTAGTTTTGATGAGTGATTTTTTTTTAAATTTTTAATTAATAATTATATATCAATTTATGAAAATCTTGTATATCGTTATATTAGGTAAAAAGTGTTAAGAAATATTAGTGTAATAATTAATATTTAATATTCAATGGAGAAGGATTTTTTTAGAATAATTTTGTGAAGTGAATTGCATTTCCAATTATTTTATATATAATCGGATGATCCTTAAAATGAATAAACCTTACTTTATTCTTTTCCATGTTTTCTTTAAAAATAATAAGAATCTTCTTTTATATTCAATAATAAGTTACTTATGCAGCAATTCAATATGATTTCTGCATTCGCATATAATATATAATCAACTCTGGATTGATTTTCTTATTGTTAATATTTATATGCATAAATTGTTACATATTCATGAACTCAAGAATAAAGAAATCTGTTCTCAGTCAATCACACTTCACGTCACTTGTCTTTATACAGGCTACAGATTCTAATGCACTTAAAGAATAACCATAATCTTGCTTTACGATTGTGCAATCCCAAGAATTTCAAATGATTCGATTCCTTAAAATAATTTGATAAAAAAAAACAAACGATTTACAATAAATTTTAAATTACCTTTTAAAGGAAAAAAAAAGAAAAAAAGAAAGAAAAATGCAGATTGCCTTCAAATTTCCATTTTTTTAAAAATAGTTAAAACGATTAGAATTATTAAACTCTCTTTAAAAATTTCTAATGACTTGTATAAACTTAAATTTTCAATTCCACAATTTCCACTTCATCTTTACGTTAATTAACAAAATCAAATTTTGTAAATCGTCAATCACCCCCCACCTAACACCATCTTCAATCAGAAAACAACGAATTTAATTAACCGCCATCGTATGAGTCCATTGAAATTGCTTTCAAGAGCTACATCGCGTGCCATTGTTGGACGAAATAGACGAGGAACACGAAGGATATTTATCGAAGGACTATCGAGTCCTCGAGAAGGGCCAATCACTCGCAATGGGATGTTATTGCGGCCCACTCTTAGCGATGAAAATTCTATTGCAATTAACGTGGACATGTCGTTAACAACTTCGTTACCGCATCGATTAAACGGTGCATCTTCGGTAATCGGTGTGTGCACCAATCGATAAACGTGCAAAACAACATACTTGGCTCGAACTCTTGCCCTTTCGTCTCCACGCGTTAAACGAAATTTCTTTGACGCCGCGCCGTAATTACTCGAAAACCGAGTGCTCGAGTTAATCGAGGGACTTGGTTAGGAAATTGCGAGGAAAGATTAACTTACGGCCGAGTTAATCAGGGGGACGAAACTTATTAAAGTTGTTTTTTAAATTTTTTTTTTAAGTAAGAGATATTCGAGTGGCTACAAGTAACAGTATAAGGATATTGTAAAAAGTTGAGTTGCGCTCTGCTTCACTTCGTGCAATGGAAATTTGATTTGATTATTAATATTAAATAAATAATATTTTGAAAATGTTCTTTTGAAAATGTTCCATGGATATATTAATATCTCGGATGTTATATTGTATATATATGCAAAATTATAAAATTATGAATATTTCAGGTAAAATCTAACTTAAAATCTAAAAATAATAAGTAAGTAACTTTATATGTAGATAATTGGAATAACTACAACATAACTACAAACCATGGATCAATATTGCATGTTTTTCTTATGGAAATTGCATTTCGATATAACATGACACAAAGTGCTCGTTAAATTGTGAAATACAGATTTCAAATATTTAGAAAATTAATTACAATACAAAAATTTAGATCGTGCAAGAACCCATTAACTATATATATCTATTATTAATGTTTTTTGAGTAGATATTATTAATTTACAATATCTAAAATACAATAACTCTCGAAACTTTAGAAAACTTAAAACTTAAACTACTTATTTTTCTCCTTTTTCTTCTTCTTTTTTCTTCGAGTAAGGAATACTATTAAAGGAAAATTATTTACTTCTAAAATTCTTCGATGTAAAAAAATTTAAATTCCTATTACTTACTTCTTCTCATATAAATTAATTAAAATAAATCAACAACCTGAAACAATCTAATTCAAAACAACTTAACGTTACAAAATTCTCATAGCTTACGAGTTACCAGAAATAACAGAATAATAAATCACTCCAATTACCCGTAAAAGTTCCTTCCTTTTTTAAAAATTTCTATATATCTATTTTTCAATCCTCGTGGGAAAAAAAATGAAGAATATTAATCCCACAACTCTGTTGAAAATTCAAATGCGATCATCTCTCGTACCAAATTCTGCGCATGCGCCTATCAAATAACACGGTACGTCCACAAGTAAGGGCCGCAATAACCATGCTCGAACTTATTGATATTTTACGTACATTTGAGAGCGCGACACGAGTGAGACAGTTGCACCGTGGACAGTTATACGTTCTATACGTGTGGGAGTAGGATACGCATATGGACAAGAGGATGCGCCAGAGACCTCGTCACGCCCGCATGCCCAACGTGTGCAGTGTCCGGGTGTACAGCTGATCGCCGAGTTCTGTACATTCCCAACGCAACGAGAGCGCACCGTGACGCGTTGATAGCACATGTCGAACGGCCAGGTTATCCATTTGGGACCTGAATCACGTTTACATAGATTAATCAATTCGAAATCGTGTCAATAGCAATCGTGTACGCAATGTTGCGGTGATAGCCAGGTGTGTACACGTTTGGAGTACGCGAAGGGACGTCTTTCACCCTCTCCCCCACTTTTAGCCGCTCGTTCATCCGTGTGTCGTTCACTGTATCGTTCTTTGTACCGTCCCTTCGTGGGATGTACGTGTGAGAAATTAATTATAACACGGAAGAGAGGAAGCCAACGATGTGGCGTGCATCAGCGCGTCTCGTGGACCTTTGATCCCTGTCGGATGTGCGTGTGGTCGTAGCGTGTGGTCGTTTAGAGAGGGTGGATCGAGAGGACGAGCCGCGTCGAGCAGATCCAGGAAGCCACTTTCGAGGATAGCACGGTTGGCCACGCTCGACAGGCTTGTTTATGATGGCCAACGAAAAGACACAGAGACCGTACAGGTGCGTGATCGTTTGGTCGTTTTCAGGGATCAGAATAGTGGGGCTGAATGAATATTCGAATGAGGATTGCGATTGCCGGCCACGAAGCCGATTTCTGCGAAGCACTTGAAGAGGATGATGAGCGATAGACGTCGACCGATTTGACGATCTTATTAAATTGTCTCTGACAATTGTTGCTTGATACCAAATGATTATTGGTTGAGTAATTGAAAAGTATGAATATTGAACGTGATAAATTATATTGTTCGTTTTTCATTCTAGAAAATTTAATTTAAGATTTGTTATTAAATTGTATTATCGTATCAATATTAATTTTAATATTGTTGCTATAATAGAAAAATTGAATTTATATTTTGATAGTATATTGGTAGTTATTTTTATTTTGAATTCTTAAATTCAAAATAAAACTTATAAAGTATGTTAAAAGTAATACTAAAAATAGTAATTTTGATAATAATATTTATCATTATTCTAATTTTGTTAATATAACGAATGTTATTGAAATTAATATTATGGCAAAACTTTGATAATAATTTCAAAACTATTGATTATAATATTAGTCACGCAGTAATGAGTACATATCTATTTTTAGAAAGTTTAATCTTTAAACTTAACAAGTTATAACTTTATATTTTATCAAAGTTATCTATTTCAATCAAATATCATCAAAATAAAAGATCAACAAATATGGATTTGTCATCTTATTATTTTATAATCTACACTTTTTAAGATGTCATTTTCTTAAAATTTTTTAGATTGCAATTAACAAAGGGATCGAATGTTTCTTGAATAAACATTGACTATAATTTTGATCGATTATAATCGTCGAATTTTGCCCGATTAAGGTTTCAAATGACGTAATTGACGACCATGTTCGGTCAGATTGTAGCTGATTTATTGATCCCGATTAAGTATTGTTACCAAAACAACTAGTTTATAGGGCAATCGATTACGTTTTGCGCATTGCTCCATATATATTTTTAATTTTTTATTTCTAAGATTGAGTAGGACTTAATCTTGAGTAGAACTCATCATTTTCTATTTTCTTTTTCTATGCTTTTTAAATAATCAAATAGTAATCAAGAACTACTTTTATATTTTGAAAAATATAAATTTATTAAATTATATTATATCATTAATATTACTATTAGAAATTTGTTTAATTTCTAATAATCTAATTAATAAGAAGAAATAATGTGATTGAAACGATAAATTACTGGTCACTGAAATATAAGTATTATTAACATTCTTTTTATTAATGTTGCTTGAATTAATCAGAATATTATTTAATCAATCGAATTATTAAAAGTATCATTTTCTTTTTAAGAACAACGTTACCAGTGCCAGGTCACTCGGAAGTAAATCTATGCTCGGTGTTATCACTGGGCAAAGATCTTAGCAAGATCACTATGCCGGTCATCTTTAACGAACCGCTTTCTTTTCTTCAACGTGTAGCCGAATATATGGAATATGCTAAATTGCTTAAACAAGCTGCCCAAGAAGAAACTCCTATTAGAAGGTTACAGGTAAATTTTTTTTTTTTTAATCGAAAAATCTTTTTTTATTTAGAAAAAAAATTTATTGGTCGATGGTTACAGTACGTCGCTGCTTTTGCTGTAAGTGCTTTGGCTTCAAACTGGGAAAGACTTGGCAAACCCTTCAACCCGATACTTGGAGAAACGTACGAACTGGAACGTGAAGATTTCCGGTAAGTAATAATAAAGTTCAAGCCACTGGGAAATTCATAGTTCTAATATGATATAAATGTTAAAAATAATAATTTATTTCATGATAGATTTCGAAAATAGATGTAGATTTAGAAATATTATTAAAGTATTAAT